ATATATATACATATATATATATATATATATATATATATACATACAGAGGGTTTATGGAAGAGAGCCTCTTTGAGTGCTTCGTATTTCAGCACTGCTTGATTTACACTTATTTTTTTCATGCTCTTTTGCAGCTTTCAATTGGGTATCTAAGGGAAAATCAGCACTGAATTATTTGATGTAATTTGTGCAGTTTGAGGGCAGAAATGATGGAATAAACAGCCCTATAAAAACCTTGTAATGACTGCAGTGCAGTGGAAGAAAAAAGATTACATTTTTGCGTTGAAATTTAATATGGTCATGAAAGTCTCCACTTTAAAAATGTGTGATTAAATAGATTGTTAGAACATGAATCACACAAATTTCCTTTTTTTAGAACTCTCTAGGTTATGTCAGTGAAAGTGAATCATTTAGTGACATCCTATAGTGCTATTAAATCTGCTCTCTTGAGAAAGCATTGAAAAGGGTTTAGAAAACAATGCAAATGTGAGATTTATGGGTGTGAACATTGATCATTCCTTACCCATGTACTTGAATCCAGAAAACTAGAAGGATTGCAAGGCTCTGATTTGTTTGGTTTGGTGGTGGTGGTGGTGGTGTTGTTGTTTTGATTTTATTTTGTTTTTTACATTTTGCTGCTTACATTTTAAGGTTTAAGATACTTTTTTTGTTTTTAAATGTCAGTTTGGGGTTTAAAAAGTAACTACAATTTGTCATTTAACTTCAGCTTAGAGACTTCAGACCTGCTTACGTTGTTTGTGTCCTTGATGTTGAAAGAGATTGTTGTATTTACTTTGTTAACCTCTACTTTTTTTACAACAGCACTGTAGCTAATATTTCTCACACTAAACGCTAATATTACTGCCAGAAATCAGTCAGAAATATTACTGTTCTCACTCTTTTCATTCCCAGCCATAACTGAACAGTGGACCTTTAATTGCTTAATTAGTACACTTGACATTGAAACAAAGAATAACTGATCGCAGTGGCAATGCGTTGACGTTAAACAATTCTTCATTGCTGCTTTTGTTGTTTACTTAAAGACAAGGAAAAGAAATACTGCTTTTTTTTATGTCACAGAGGAAAATGATGATCATCAAAACATTTGGGCTCCAACATTTCCCTGACTTGCCTTGCTGATGAATGTGGCCCACTCAGATTGAGATATAAAGCTATGATAGTATGAAATATGAGGCTTGTATACGTTTACATCCTATATCCTTTTGAAAACAGCATCTTTTGTCATGGTAGGCAGCTCTTTTCCCAAAGACAATCACTCTTTGTCAGAAAACATACACACACACATACATACAAGCACGTGCACTCGAGAACTGATGACAAGCAGCTCAACCTGAACTAAGCTTTCAGTCCACATTTACAGTATGGTCATTTTTTCCCCTCGATCTTTTGCGCTATTCCCTGTTGGCCTGATCTTGACGGATCATTGGCTTTGTCTGGAGAATGTATTGTTCTTAAGGGCAGGCAGCACGAACAAGCACGCTGTTTAAGGTGGGTAATAAATCACCGCGGACCCCTTGGAGGGCGGCCGCGGTGGCTTTAAGAGCAAAAAGACACTTAGACGGTGCTCAGGATAAGCCACTGGCGAAAATGGATTTGGCCGTCTATCACTGGGTAGAATCTTAGGACTTATGAAGGACACTCAGGTGCATCATAATCGCTGTGGAAACCTTTATAGCTAGCCGTTTGTCATTAGCCGAACAAACCAAGCAGTAATTCATAACAAAATGTGTGGTGGACTCTGGACTGCCTTATGTGTCTTTTTCTGGTACTAATGAAAATTGAGGTTTGTTAGTCTATTCCAGCTAATTCCTTTACCTAGGCTGATTTAAGTGAATTATTACTTAATTAAACAGCTGTGTATTCAGTGATATTATTTATCCATAATATTTAATGGCTTGTTTATTTATTTGTTATTTTTAATATATTTATATATAATTTTTTGCAAAAACCTGCATTGTGCATTTCTGCATTTTGTGGCAGAAAAATAATGCTCTGATTTAATTATAAACTATATAACTGAATATTGAAATATTGAAATAATTATTTTTTTTATTTTATTATGATGATGATTATTATTATTATTTTAAACCGATATAATAGACATTTGTCCTTCTGCTGTTGCTCATATCAACTTAAATTTCTTTAATGATGTGGTGGTAAAGAAGCTTTTCGGATGAAAACACTCTTTAATTTGCATAAATAGCGACTACCTAAATGGGATGACCTTCGTAGTAACACTTTACAACGTTTGCTATCAATTTTTCATATTCAATATAAATGCATTCAAAATATATTAAATAGAAATGCATAACAAGTTGCATAATGGGATGCTTATCGTTACAGATCTTTTAGAGATGTTTGACCTTACATATATGAATTCAAGTAGGACTTTGAAATTCTTAGAATAACAATGAAAAAAAAAATATTTAAATCTCCTTGAACTCTTGAAGCCAGACAGGATTCCATTGTGTTCAGACATACTCTTCCAAAGCTGAATAAAGCCAAATTCTGGAATTAATTATGAAATAATGGCTTAAAAGTTTAATCAAATGAAAAACTAATGCTTTTTATTCTTTTAAATTTTAAAATTATCTCTTTAAATTTGCATAATGCTTTTGTGGTGAAAAGTAAATTGAGCCCATTTCAGTTTTTTGTCTTTTGCAGGGGTGACTTTAGGAAAATACAGCATATGAACTGCTGGAGGTGTCTGTGTTGTTGGTTTGTAGTACATTCTACTGAAGCACGCAAACTTTGGTTTGTTCCTCAGGTTCATCTGCTGAAGGATCAGCTCTCTGCAGAAGCTGCGGCGAGGATTGAGGCCCAGGCTCGAGTTCACCAGCTGCTGTTGCAGAATAAGGACCTACTGCAGCATATTTCTCTCCTGGTCAAACAGGTTCAGGAACTGGAGCTCAAGCTGACTGGGAATGGCTCTAGTGAGTATGATTTCATGTGTTCAGCAGAGCTAGGGAGTAACTTCAAAACCTGCATTGTTGCAGATTTTAATTGTGCCCTATTTAACACCCTTAATAATGGAAGAATAAGCACAAACACAGGAGGTCTGTGTTTCTTCTGCATCCATTAAAACATCTTTTATTTTTTTATTAGTTGTTAAAAGATAAATGCATTAAATTTGGTATGCAAAAATTTATTTATAGTCTGTTGTTAGATTAAGTAGAAAAAGGTCATAATACAATTATTCACATTTAATTTTTAATCTACTGACATCCTCAAGCTGTGCATTTAGTACAATAGTATTATATTTCGGTTGCTTTTCACTGTATTACAAGGTGGTTCAGTTAAACTTTTCAGCATTTCTGCTAAAGTTTTTTGAGTTTGTTTTTATTAAGAACATAAAAAAATACAGTTTATTTGATTTTGTTTTGTTTTTAAATTATTCTAAAAGTTTATATGATATATTAAATATTAAAGCTGCAGTCCATAACTTTTTTGGTTAAAAATGATCCGAAATCAATCTTTGAGCTAGTACATAACCAGGCAGTGTTCAAAACTATCGCCTTATTTTAGCCCGATTCACAACGGTTAGCTTATAATAATGTTTTCTAATTTGAGTGGTACGGGTAGGTTTTCGCGGGAAATTCGAGCATGCTGCTGCGTCATTACGTCACGTCTGTAAACATAAAGAAGTTGTCCCGGCTACTAGGCTATCGCATGTGAGGATCCTGCAGGTGGCCGATCGTTTATAGCCTTTTCTCACAGCAGCCGAAATAATTAAATGTATCATTTTGATGGCGGATTGTAATCCAGAAAGGATTATGTGTTTATGAAACACGTGAATGAAATTAAATGATATTCCAGTTATAAATGTGCTTCTGATTACAGATAGCCTGGGATTACAAAGATTTGTATTTTAAAGAAAACCAGTTCGAAGGGAGCATAATTTGCTTTTTGGCTTAAAATTATTTCTTGATATAAAATTCGAAGAGTATGACAGTTAGATTAGACCGTGCAGAAATCGAAATCTACACGCTGCTAATACACACTATACTCATAGTCACCAATGCTGATGTTGTTAACATTAATCATTTGAGAATAAAGTATAACAATAATAATAATTTGAACGGTTTGATGTAATATGAGCTAACCGATCTTTTGATTTAATCACCATTGGTAGCGAGATTTATGGTAATGCTTTTTTCCTCAGTTGGTCAGAACAAACGTGACTTGTTACTTGCTTGTTCAGATGACAATATCCGGTGAAAATGCTTATTTGAGTCATATATTCCAAGACGTAGGCTAGAATCTGTGATTGCGAAGTACAGTAAATATCCACACCGGTGCGGTGACTGACTGCCACACATA